ATCAAAGCTGATCAATTCCATCTCCCATCGAGTTTGCAGGTTACGTAAGCACATGTTACATGAAGTTGGCGACCACATCTCTTCGTAGAGGGTGTGAAATGGAAATGGTAATTTATCGTTATATCGATACTTTACTGTATTCCTTTAGTTGAAATAAGAAAGCCTCAGTTTGAAATAATAATATGAGACTGCAAGAAAAGCAGCGAAGTAATCTCTTACACAACATCTTGTATTAAATGACCTCCGTTTAGTCTCAAGCGACTCTTTTCATCAACATGTCCATCCTCAGTTTTTTCCTCGAGCAAGATGTGTTTGTGTCTAAAGAATACTATTAAAGCAGAGCTTTTTTGATAAAAACTTCAATAATAAAAAAACATTATCTCTATTAAAAACAAAATTTTAAAATCACTTACAAATGCAGTCGAGGCTACCTACTTAAGAGAAAGGTGATAGAGTATCGAAACTTGAATTACAATTACCAATTATGAAAAAAAACTAATTAAAACAATACTGGATATAAAAAAAAATTGTGATCAATTTCGGTCGGTAAATTCAGTATCAGGTGCGCAGCTATAGAGGATGTTTTGCCGTAATAAAACGACGATTAATTTCAGTATAACTGTAAAACCTAATTGGCCGCCATAAATTCGGAACCGAACGATGTACTCTGAATGTAAATTACGGTCGGATGCTCAAGCGTTATCTGCGTTACGTGACGTTTTATCGTGTAGCTTGCGCGAACCGAGAGCACTTTTTACTGCACGATCTCTCGCGGGAATTTTGCATCTTCAGTTTTTACCGCAATTCCCAACGTAATTCAAATCATAACTTGTACGCGTCACTACACACATAATTTCATTTAATACGTTCATAAACGGTATTTAAACCAACTTATTAACAATTCTCCTTTGAGTCGTATTATTTATTATATTAATATTGTTAAATAACTTACAAGTTGTTGATGAAGTAAAACAAGGACTGGTCCAGATTAAATCTTTTACACAAAGGTGATAAATCATATTTGACCTCCACTAAACCCCTTGTCCACCCTTGTCATATGACAAATGTGTATCTAAATCTCTAAATTACAAGAGATCTATCCAACTTAACACGATGTCACATTCCGTTTTTTGAAACGACTATTTCGTTTTCTGTAGTGATATAGGATCTTTGGATTAGGAAACGGACCCAATTTGACTATAGAAACGATTAGAGTACTACCCGTTTTACATAACTCCGTTTCGTAAATTTATAGCCAGGGACGTTCACGATTCGCAATAAATTACGACGCCCCGAAAAGCAACCGGCGATTGAATATAATTAATGGCCGGCGAACAAATATCGTGATGATTTAATGTCAATTTCGTCGATCGGAAATTTCGTCCGCGGGCGAATTTATTAATTCAGGTTTGTTTATTTTTAATCAAACGTAATGTCGGTTATTCGGATAATTAATTGAAATCCTATAGGATTTGGGACGGTGTACATGCGGACGTTGAAATTTAGTCCCTGTTGTTGTGACAGGTTTATGGAAGCGAAAAATAAAACAATATTTTTCACATACAAAAATACACATGTTATTTAATAAAAAAGAAACTTAAATGGTGTTTTAATGAAAGCTTTAGTTTAACAGTAATAACCAGAAATGCCTGTCTATATTACACAAGTAATTCGTTTTACTTTGGTATCTGTTCAATCGATATCGATAGCATTATTTATGGCGTCCGTTCCCCGTTAAGTTCTTAACAGCTCAATAACTGTGTGCAAGTAGAAATTCCGTAGTGCGGAAGCTTTACTATATAATAACAATTTTCCACAAACAACTTTTGTGGAACAACATTTTTTTATGAAAGGTATAACTCTTTGTTATTAATAAATAACTAAATAAAATTTATATCTTTTAGTGTATATTTGAAAGAATCCAATATAAATTGTTGATTAAAGATTTGTACAAACGCTATTAATCATTACTCTTCTGGCCTACTATCCGTGCCAAAAGTCAAGGGGTTCCGTCGAATCGGAAAAGATAGTTCTGGTGTGTGTTCCAGACTGGACGTCGCGCCTTTATTTCTTTATATAGGTAAAATAAAGGCGCGACGTCCTCTCTAGAACACACACCAGTCGGATTGGAGAGAACCCTTTTCGACATAAACCGTGATTTTCCGCAAAACTATATGGAATATCAAAAAAATTAAATATGCCTGTCATTAAGAACATATCAAGCCACCATCTGTTCTAAGTACTATTTCATTTAACTCGAGATAAAAAGAAAACCGCGGAGAAACTACGTGATATCGACACAAAACAGAGAGTTACATGAAATTTTGATAACCAAAACTTCGTTTTGTAACAACGACGTTGTGCAATTACATTCGACGGCGAACGGGCCATTGTTTACTACATACCTCGTAAAATCCAGCAGGCAGGATCGCCTTAAAAACGAAATGTCCATCTTACAAATTGAATTTCCGAAAGGGCCGACAAGTATCGGCGTTCAAAATGGCTATTTCGGGCCGTCTTTATGCGAACGACTCCAACGACGCAAACTGTTGCCCGTTAGTTGATAATTGACACTAGTACGGCCCTTTCGTCTTCCCTTTGTGATCAAGACTGAATTGGATATTTCGATTTTCCATTCTCAATGGTAAATTGTATAACCGTTACAAGAGATTGAAAATAATTTATCAAATTCGTGAGGATTTTATAAAATTAAAACGTAAATACCTAATTATTCGTTAAATTGGTCATATCTTACTCCATATATCACTTTTTTCAGTTGTTATGGGTTAGGTTGGGTGTGGTTCAAGAATCACTTTTAATAATCCATTTGTTACAGTGTGTTACAGTTCCTACGAAGAAATTAACAGCTCATTAACTATCAAAATCCCAATATCGACCGTAGCCTTAGAATTTGCCAAACTTTTTCTTTCTTGATTCCATTTCCAGAAAGTATTTTTTTTTGTTTTATGGCATCCTTGGGATGCATATGGTATGCGAAGAAAGGGCACTTTATTTCCACAACAACTCCTTGTCCCACTAAACCGTCTGAACTTGCCCCTAGGAAGCTGTACTCAGCGTCTATGAACAATCCGCACGTTTCTACCTTTATGTTATCCTGTCCTTCTAACTGATGTATAGCAAAATTTTCATTCATTTTACCATGCTGCACAGCCTTAGATCTACTTACTGCATCACGCGATTGACGCGACAAATTTGTAAACTTTACGACAAATTACAACAAATTAAGCGACAATTAATGCAATAATTTTTTTTATTCAAATCGCAAGATGTAGTGCCAACTTGACAGCGATCAGATACAACGATGCAGTTCGTTGCTACAAAGAAATGTATACAAAGCAAAAATAAGAGAAAAAAGTTTGAAAGTATGCCTATCTTTATGTGAAATATAATAATAATAATATTGAACTTTATTACTAATATTATAATTCAAATTCGAGCACTTTGGCAAATAAATAAAAGTGATAAGAAGTTAACTTAGGTTATTTTTCTTTGCTATTTAGTTATAGCTATAAAGTTCTTTTGTCTCCATCTTTTAGGTTGGTGGCTTTTCCACTAATTAGGTTACAAGGTTAAGCTGAACAGGGAGGAATTTCGAAAGCTTTGTTTGACGGTTTTAAGGGAGGTGGGGTGTCGTGTAGGAAGAGGGTAGCTAATATATTTATTAAAGGCGCCCGTAGTCGGCAGCCGCGTTGCTAACTTCTCCCTGATCTGTATTCACGCTACGGCAACCTCTGCCTTTACTCGGTGGCAGGACACCCCCCTAAATGCGTCCTGTCTAAGCTAAATGAAAATTCAATATCGCCCCTACTTCGCCGCGGCCTGCGACGTCAGCCAACCTTCAGTCGCCACGGCAACTCCTCAATTTCTCCCGAAAACGACTCGACAAAGACACCATAATACACATTATAAATAATCGAAGATTGAATTTATTTGGTGACATACACCTGAACTTACTTCTGATAGAACCAACTAAAACCAAACCGAGCAAACATTCATTACAGTTTCGTTTTAGTTAGTTTCGAAAACGCGGCAACTTCGACAACTGGAGTCGGTGCGGAGCTGCGGGGGAGGTTATTTCCGGTCGCTATCGATTAATTGCATTACCGATGGTTTTCGCGGTGAAGCCCGATATCCCGTAATTAAATATCACGGCTATATCCTACCGGTACACTTGGAATAGTTACCGCTGCCGGATTTCGAGCTCCCTCCCCAACCTCTCTCAAAATCTAAATGTTGGAACGGCGCGGCGGTGGTAGCAATTCGATGATGTAATTAATAAATTCCAAATCGTTGTGGTCTTATCATTACCGGCGTGGAGGAATACAAACAAGAATAAACCCACATGTTCGAAAAAATGATTTTAATAAACTCATTAAATTATCGTTTAACATAAATTTAAAATCGAATACGCACACAAATTGTAAATTGGTAATATCGCGAGGGGCCTTTCAATTCATTACACGACCGTTTGTACACGTCGGATGGTAATTAATAGATTGTGCATCGCTGCAATAAAGGTTTTGTCGATCGAAAGTAGTAATTAAACTTAAAACGTTTTGCGCGAAATTGATAATTTATACGGTTGAATTGTGAGCACAATTTAAATTTAAATCGCTAAATGAAAAACGATTGAAGACACAAAATCGGATTGGATCTATTGGATTCTTTGTCATTTGAAAACATTTCACAACCGATTTCCTATTATTTCAGTCGAAATTTAGTGTTCGCTATTCGGGTGGATTTTCCGGAAAGATATAGGCCATTAACCGCGTCGACAAAACTAGCGATGCTTTGTCTGCGATTTTCACACAGCACAGAGAGAGCCGGTTGGATGCTGTGCTCTGCACGCATTACAACTCGCTTTGTGCGTAACGTATTGATTTCTGACGATTCAATGGTCAACCGAACACCAGAGATGGCGTTCGCTTCCAATTCCTACATTTTCAACATAAAATCAAAAAAATATTTTTGCAATTATCCTTTATTGTTTATACTTCTTCTAATTCACATTTACAAGAGCGAATAAATCTTCATTTCTACAAAAAAAATAATTAAAACAAACATAATTAAAATAATGAAAAATAAATATTTACCTTTAAGGAATTAAATAATGAGTAAATGTATATCACCGCTTGATTCATCTACTGATCGTTCATCTGATTCTTCGTTTTCTCTGTTAATGAGTAAAATTGTTTATTTTGTTGGTATAATTTTGTTTTAACAACTTACAGTGATGTATCATCCGCATTTCTGAAACTAAACAAAAATATTTTATAAAAAAATTTAATGAAAATGCATGGAAATTTGCTCACTTTGCATCTGATCTGGAGTCCACAAATAATTTCCTCCTAAAAATAAAATATATTGTATAATAAAACATACACAATAAAATTACTCACCGCGCTCTTTTTGCACCATGCCTAAAATTTGGAGTAGATAAAAAAATAGAGGTAAATACCTTTAAAATAAATAAATGTTGGTATTTTAACTTACTTCCCTCTTCTCCTTTTATTTTTAGATGATTTACCTCTAAAATAGAAATGAATAATGCGGGGATAAGAATAATTAAAGATTAAATAAAAATCTACCGCATTCTTTGGGCAACTTGGCTGAAAAAATAATTTCTTTTTTGCTTTTTTATTCTAACATATTTTAGAACTTACTCTTCATCAGAAATAGCAGATAATGGCGCACTAAAATAAATTAACCCCTTTTAATTCGCTATTTTAGTCTAAAACAATTTAACTTACGATCTCATACTGATTCCTCCACTGTTATCAAACGAATTTAATGAAATTTGTTAAATTAAATTTAATTTCATTCCTTAAAATAAAATAAATCAACCCTTTTTTTAAATTATACTTACTCGAGTGTATCCTCCAAACTAAAACTAAAAAAAAATGTTATTTAAAAAAGTATTTAAAAAGTGTTTACTAACTTAGCTAAGTAATCTTCTCCGATATTTCTAAAAAAATCAATTTATTAACGATTTTTATTATTTGAGTCAATATCGACTTCGACTTACTCATATGGGGTGAAATATTCACTGAAATGAATTTTTTTAGTATGATTAAAAATTAAAATTATTAATCACTTACTCGAGGTATTCAGAATATGACCGCAAACTGATAAAAAAATCATGAAGATTTAAAAAATGTATAACAATGTATAAAATGTATAGAAATAGGAAGGTTTTTACCCGAGTTGATCAATATATTTATTTGCATAGTCGCTATAATCCAAGCTAAAACAAAATAGTTGTATGGGTAATAATTTCATCGAAAGAAGATAACTTAATTACTTCTTAAGTCCAAATTGCCCATTTTGACCAATATCCCTCATATGTGCATATTGTCCCATTGGTCCATAAGCACTAAAATAAGATTTTTTAATAATATATTTATGTAATTCGATGAAAAAAATTATGTTGCAATTCTAGTACCTAATAATAAACTAAAAACTGTTTTTTGCGCTTCACGATATGTAATGGTGAAATCTTATATAATGAATCCGAGCAGGAAGGCAAAGGAGCTCTAAGAGATGAAGGTGCAGGAGAAGAAACAGAACACAGACCAGAAATACCAGGAGAACAATATTACTCAGAAAGCGAAGTACTTTCTAGATAAGTATAAATCAAAATGGTCAAAGATTCCAAACAATAGAAATGTAAGAACAATGCTCTTTGATGTTGGCTGATATTCTTCACAAAAGATATACAAATCTCAAATTAGCAACTAAAGCCTCAGGGTATGATGCAAATCATCAATATTTGGTCCAGAAAGAGTAATAGAAAAGAAATCAAAGCAGTTTTTGGCTTTCTTCACTTGACATAATTATATAAAACAAACCCGCAAAATATTTCTGATCTTTGGAATACCGATGGTAGTGCCATAAACTTGTTTCAAACAACAATGCTACAACAAAGATATTATATTTTGCTACAATCTTTGCGATTTGACAACATAGCAAATAGAGCACAACGTAAAGAGGTTGGGAAGTTGATACCAATTAGATCTTTAATCATTTTGTTCAAAATTACAAGGTATACTATGTGCCTAATGAATACCTAACAGTTGATAAGAAGTTGGAGGCATCACACGACGTGTGCCATTCCTTCAGTACATGTCCAATAAGCTTTCAAAGGTTTATAGTCTATCTTGTCGACGCAAAAACCTAATATTGTCTAAACCGGAAATTATTTACAGAAAGTTTTGGGGGAAAATATTTTACATACAGTTCCATTTAAAATATATCTCTTACAAAAATCAATCGAAACTTTTACAATTTTTCAATCACATTCTGATGATTTAAAATTTAAATCGTAATTAAAATAAATGATAATTAAGTGATAACCAGATATGTTCAAAACTTACCCATAATATGGATAAAGAGTTCTAGAAGATAAAGATCGAATATAATCAAAATCAATTAATGTCTAAGTAAAACAATTAAACTTACGGTTGACCAAAATTTTGATTTATAAGAGGCAATAATCTGTAAATAAATCAAACATCCAGTTTTATCAATTAATTTTTCTAAATTCCTCTTCATTTAATACCTACATTCTTTGTTGCGGGCTATCATCGCTACAAAATTATTTATTGAATAAACAAAAACTTATTAATAAAGCATATCTTACTTGGCATTTTCCACCACAATTGTTCCGGAAGGTAAACTTAAAATGATTAAAATTTTTAAACATAATTTAAAACAAGATAGACCTCCTTACCTGCTATCACTCCTATCATCCTCAAATTCCTTTGAATTTGCGTCACTAAAATAAAGTAAAACATCTTTACCTTTGTCAGATGGAATTTAATTCAAATTACTTACTCAACAGATCTGTCACTTTCGCTTTGAATTAAAAAAGAAATTTAAAATTTTCTTATACCAAAACAATAAATGAATTACTCACTCAGCGTATCCAAACGGAGGTTTAACCCAAGGATCAGATTCATCACTTAGCCTCAGTCTTCGTCGAGTTTTTCTAAAGAAATTAAGGATTGGCTATAGAATCGCGTTTCTAAATTTATTTACTTACGCCGCGTAATATCTAAAAACAAACTAAATTAAAAAAAATTATTATTTCGATTTGTGATTTATTCTCACCCATTTGAAAGTAGCAAGAATATCAGAGAAAACCTCGAAATAAAAACAAGAAAATCCATTAGTTGTTTTATTTGATCGAGGAAATGTAGAAAATCGTTTAGTAACCGAATTTAATGGTTCTGTTCGTCCCACGGATGGACGTTTATTGTCGACTTTAAAACCAGAACAAAGAGATCGTGGGATAAATTAATTAAAATAAGGCGTATAAAGGACAATAGATTTATCTTTACACCCATCGAAAATTTTCAAAATCTATTTTAAGTAATTATTGTAATTATAACAAAATCGTTGCCGATTTGATAAGTTAATTCAATAAATGTTTCAATAAATAATAATATATAACAATAACGTTCTTGGTAAATACATTATGATTTTATTAAAAAAATTTGATTATTTTTTCGGAAATAATTTATAAATAAAACAGGAAGAAATATGGGTATTAAGAAACTTTCAATTTTTTTAATGAATTTATTATGTTAATTAGACAAGGCACCAAATTTTTTATTTTTTGTTGATTAGATTCATTTTAGAACTGCTTCTATATAAAAATAGAATAAATAATTTGAAAACAATTGTTAATTTATTTAATTACCTATCGCCGTTTTAACGAGATTTTGTCGCTTAGAAAAATCTGTAAAATAAAAAAAATGTTTAATATTATTGAACCTAACCGATAAATATTATGTTACCGTAAATTGCCATCAACAGCATTTGGCATAGCGCTAAAAGATATGATTTGATAAAATATTGGATGTAAGAATTAATTAACAAAGAAATAAACTCACTCTGCCATAGGTTGACTAAAAACAGAAATGAATTAATTATAAATTGATTAACTGGAAATATAAACTCACTCAAAACTAACGAAAGGTGGTCGCATGGATATTGTACCACTAAAAAGTTTTTCGTCAATAAAAAATTATAATTTACGAAATTTTAATAATACAGTAAAACCCGTCATAAAAAGTCCGTTATATGAAAAATTATATTTTCCGTACAGTTTACTCTCTTAAGTTGCCTAAACCCAAATGTTTCGAATAACGAATAACAACTAAAACTAGAATTAACACTAGACCTAAAACTAGGAACATTCTAATTCTAAGACTAGTGTTAGTTCTAATTTTAGCTCAATGAAAATATACAGCAATCTTCTTCTTCTTCTTCTTTCTCCACTCAGGCTTAAAACATGTTATTCGTCAATAATGTCTATATTCTGTGCACAAATTATCCCTCCATCTTTTCCTTGGTCGTCCTAGACTTCGTTTACCCAATTTATCCCTGTCCCTTTTCACTAGTCTATCTTGTCCCATTCTTTTTATGTGTGCACTCGATTCTTTCTTCCGTTTATGTGTCCTATTGTTGATATTTTCCACTCTACATAATCTTCTTATGTCTTTGCTTCTTTCTCCACCGTATAGAGTTTTATCGGTGAGTCTGCAAAGTATCTTCATTTCTGCTGTTTAAAATATCCGTTTTATTTTAGACGTGTCAGGTCTAGTCTCAGCCGTAGAGGTCTTATGGTGCTCTTATATATTCTCGATTTTGTGTTAATCTATAGATGTTTGTTCCTCCATAAAGTGCCGTTTAAGCAATTGCGATTTTGCTGGCATTCCTGACTTGTTGGGTTGGGTTGGGTTAGGATGGGGTGGGATACTCTGTTGGGAACTCTGTTGTGATACCCTGTTGGGAACTCTTCAATATTACCGTAACTTAATAGTTCAACTCCAAAGTACTTGAATATCATGACATGCTCTATTATGTTCTGGTTCACTTCCAGCTTACATCGAAGTGGCTCTTTCGCTGTTGTCATGCATTTAGTTCTTAGAGCAGCAATGGACATGTTGAATTGTTTCGCTATGTTGTTAAATGCAAAAAAGACTGCGTCATCAGCATAACAGAGGATCACAAATTCTTGACCACCCATATTGTAGCCCCTATCCACCCTAACTTTTTTTATGATTTCATCCATCACAAAATTGAGTAGAAGTGGACTCAATGAATCTCTTTGTCGAATGCCAGCATTTACAGGTATTTCCTTAGTGAGTTTTCCATTTATTCATTCTTGTATGTTGTTTTCCGAATAAATTCCGCGGTTGTATAGCAGATTTATAACATCCTTTAATCTAATCTTATCAAAGGCCTTTTGTAAATCAATGAAACATAAGAATGCGGGTTTATTATATTCTATTGATTTTTCTACGACTTGTCTCATCACGAATAGAGCATCTGTACAGGATTTTGCTGACCTAAAGCCTTGTTGTTCTTTGGCCAGTGTTGTAATGAAATTAATTTTGCTTGTGATAATCTTGGTTACCAGTTTGAGCATGGTGCTAAGTAGATTTAAGCCTCTGTAGTTGTTTGGTTCTTTCTTATCTCCTTTTTTGAACATTAGAATCATTGTGCTTGTCCATGCGTTTGGTATTTTTTGCTCAGTTAAGAATTTGTTTATCAGCGATGTTATTTCCATTATTAAACTGTCTTCTCCATATTTTAGTAGGTCATTTTGAACCTTGTCTTGACCTGGTGATTTTCGGTTTTTAAATTTTCTTAGCGTTTCTCTTACATTTTCTAGTGATATTGTAATATCGTCTCTATTTTATTCGTTTCTATCAGTTCATTTAACTCTTTTCACAGTGGTTTGACCGATCTCCACATTTGCTTCTGTAGGCCATAAAAACCTGATTCGAGCCTTATGGAGAAAGCTTCCCAATGTTGGTTTTTTGTTTTCTAGGTGCGCTAGTTTTATTTGGTGTATGGTTTGGTTTTATTGTTCTGGTTACTAGTGGCTCCTATCTGGTTCCTTTATATTTAAATATACTGATGTATTAAACAGATAATATTACTTAAAAATATATTGTTCATTCTAACTAGATCCATTATATCAAGGTTTTACTGTAATAATATCAATAGATTCAAAATATTTAAACTTACGTGGATTCGTCATAATATGGACACCAAATAAGGCAAAATACTTTGGGTCTAAAATTCATTAATAAAATCTGGTATAAATTTCATTTAAACACAAAATTTTTTTATACTTACGCTTGACAACCACTAAAATAAAAAAAAATTGCTATTAGATTATCAAATATATTTTTTTTAATTTAATTTTCCTTACATGTTTAAGAGGACTAATATTAATAGAAAATTAATTAGAATATGCATGAGTATCATTTTAAAATCCATGTGTACTCAACTTTTTCCTAATCAACTCGCCACAATCGTTAATTTACACAAAGAAAAACAATGAGGTTATAAAACATTTATCGTCATTTATTGAAAATTAAAAATATCAAGCAATAATTTTTAGATAACACATTTCCCTGGATAATTTCTTCTAAATCGACATTAGAAAGAGATCACTAAAAATAAAAAATTAACAAATGAATTAATGATTTATGGATCACGAATGCACAGAGATTACAGCTCCTTCCGATGACTTAGTATTGTATTGCGGTTGCTATTCATTACCAGGAATTATTACCGAGGATTTAATTAGTCGATTATAATCAAAAGGTTTTACAAACTAATCCTCTTGCCAACAACAACATGCTTACGTCGCTTGTTTACCATCCGAGATGATCGTTAAATAAATAGATTCTCAACAACAAACATTAAACCAAAGTTTATTTTAAAATATCTCTTCAAGAAGTTGTTTAAAGTGCGTGAAAGGAAATGAAAAAATGTTTGCCCTTTACGAAAACTTTAATGAATTAAAATTTTTGAATTAATTTATTATTATTTATGAAATGATTTAATTAATTAATTGATTTCGGTGTACGTCAAAGAGTTTTATTTTCAATTAATCAACCTCTCATTATTTCATATAGTATCGATCGTAACCGTCTGTTATAACTGCATAACGTGATGGTAGTATAATTATTAACAAATGATGTGTATTAAAGCCAAATAATCGCTGTAACTACGTGTTTTTGCTATTACAATTTTAGAGTTATGCATGTTTCATTATTTACTAATATGGTTTAATAAAATATGCGTTATTGTACTTAATATTATATTCTGTCCATTTTTATCAGTTTTTTTGTTCTTCCTTTTGTTATTTCATTAATATTTTATAATGTAAAATAATTTTGCTCCGATATACCAGATTTTAATACGACTTGGTACTTTATGAGATTTAAAAAGATGTAAGTAATAACATATGCAATTATATAATTTACGACTTTAGAGAAAATAAGATGCACATGTTAAGAGATACCTCAAGATCTTTCATACAGCGCATTAATGCTTGTTGAAGAGAAAATGGGTGGCATTTTGAATAAATTCTAAGTATTAATTAAATTAATACCTACTTGTTGAGCAACGTTTAGTAATTGTTTATAGTTTGTTGCTGCGTTTCATTCAAATA